AGCACTGGTTTTTTTCGATTTTTAACAGCTGCCCTACCGTGATTAGTGCGTCGGGGGTACGTCAAGTGTAACCCGGATTTGCATGAGGGGAGCATCCTCCTGCATCGTAAATACTAAATAAAATTTCCGATATATATATAGTATAAATTATACAATACCGTAAAATTTTTTTTTCGCTCTTTCGTTTAAACGTTGAACACTAATATTCATTATTATTAATCCGCTTATTTAAATAAACTATTAAAGTTAGAACTCTTAGTAGGAACGTAAGGACAAGTTTCTTCGGAATCTAGTTGTTTTGAAGTAGAGATTGTACGTACTCTTACAAGAATCGTGATTAAGCTTTCGAATGAGACATTAAGATTTGGTTCAAGTTAGTTTTATCTTATGTCACAAGCTTCCTGAAACTTGGTTTATATTTTACTGGGTTTTATTTGAATTCAGTTTTAGAAACCTTTCAAAATTACCCAAGTAAGATCTGATCAACCCGGATAATCTAGATTTAAATCAAATAGAAGTATCTTGGGTTATTAATGAGTTATTTCATTTTAAAAATGTTTAAGTATTTAATATTTACTACTTAACTTCTATTTTATTATATAATTTAAATGTGCAAGAGTAAAGAATATTTAAGTATTTAAGTTTAATTGATTTATTTATTTTTTGATTAATACACGATTATAAAGAGTATTTATTAATTTAACTTTATAAATTTTTTTTTCTATTTAGATTGAGGGTACTTTCAAACATCTAAATTAATAGATTGAAGTTTAATTTTTAATTAGTAGGTAATAATCTGGATGGTCTAATAAGTTCATTAAAAAAAAATAAGTAAGACTGTCTTTTTCTAGTGTTTATCAGGATTCGAATTCCACATTATAAACTTTCAGCAGTAACAAATGCTTGCGCACAATTCTATTACTAGCTGATCACATTGAGAAAGATGTTCAAGCGTACCTTGAGTATAAAGTACATTAAGTTATTCAAATTCGTAAGCATTATTATTTATAATTTCATTTTATAGTTGATAATCTGTATGTGAATATTAAAAATATTGTAATCTAATTATTCAAGTTCGTGAAATATTTATTAAGCATTTAAATAAATATTTAAATCAATATTGTAGTTTAATAAAGTTTATTGCGTAATATCTTTTATTAATAAAAAAATAAATATTTTTCGGCAGATTACTTTTTTTATCTCTGGTTTGATGAAATTTACAATTAATTGAGTTTCAAAGAGCTCACACAAGTAACTTATAGGTAACATTATTAGTACCATATTATGCAACAACGAACAAAATATAGTTATAATGACATTTTATAAAACATTAATAAATTGCTCAAGTATCAAGATTCTCATTTTGATTGATTATAGTAAATGAGCATCTTTATGTTTATTAGCTAAATGCATAGAAAATAACGTTTGAGCAAACTTTAATTACTTCTTAATTTGCTTATTCGTTTCATTATTATAAATTTTATGCAAATATAATTATAGTTATGCACTGTTACAATTATAAGATAATAACATCGAGGTTGAGACTTGAGAACGCCCTTAATTTAATATTCAAATTAAGACTTAATTGTATCTGTAACTTTTAAAATAATAGTAAAACAAAGATTCTATAAACCTAAATTTATATTGATTGATGTTATTTTATTTTAAAATAACATCTTGAATGTTATTTTGAGAGATTTAATTTAAAATAAATCAATAATTAACTTATTTAAATTAGGTTTCTCAAAATAATATTCTTAGACATGAATAATACGGTATTTATAAATTATATCTATTTTTAAACACAGTTTTAAATTTATATTAATATATTTAGAGTAGGATGTTCAGAATTCTGCGGTGTATAATTCTGCTTACTCTAAAAATATTTTTAGAGTAAGCATAATTATGCATTACAGAATTCTGAACACTAATTTAGATTTTGTAATTAATTTTAAGATTATGTATAAATAAATCCTAGTATACCGTTTTGTATTTTTTTTTTTAATTTTTATTCCTTGTTTAAAAGTCAGCTTAGCTGATTCACTTTTATTTCGTCAGTAAAAATAATACCTATCGTCAGCAAAATAAATACATTTTTTTAAATAGTTTATTTTATTTATTTTTTACAATGAATTCAGAACATTTGGTTCAACCTAATAAAATTTCTATTGATATACATGTATTTCAAGATTTAATTCAATATAAAGAAGATGCTATGAAATTAGAATTTGAAAAAAATCAATACATTCTTAAAATGAATAACTTAGAACATACAATTGAAACTTTAAATAATAATATTGTTGCAATTCAACATAAAACTTCTATAGAAATTTCAGAATTAAAAAATTATTATGAAATTGAAATTTCTGATTTAAAAAATAAATATTATAATGAAATTTTACAAAATCATAAAAATGAAATTTTAAACTTAAAAAAATATTATGAAAATGAAATTTCAAATTTAAAAACTTATTATGAAAATGAAATTTTAAATTTAAGAAATTATAATAAATCTGAAATTTTTAGATTAGAAAATAATTATAATCAAATAAAAAATAATTATAATATTGAAATTAATTTAAAAAATAAACAAAATATTGAAATTTATAATTTAAAAAATAAAATTTTTTCTTTAGAACAAGAATTAAAAAATCCATCTATAGATTTATTTTCAAATATTTTTAATAATAATATTAATAATTTATCTAATTTATTATATAAAAAACAATATGAAGAAAAATGTTTTCCACCTACAAATTCAGATGAATTTATAAAAATGATTGATTTATCTAATTTAAAACCATTTGTATTAATGTTTTTTAATGCATTTAAATCTAATAATCAAAATGAAAAATCTATTGAAAAACTTAAAATTAGAATAATGTTATTAATGTATCATTTAGCTGGACTAAAAAATAACAAAATTACAAATGTAAAAGCTTCTATTGGAAGTTTTTTACTTAAAGCTGGTCTTTCAAAAAGAGCAATTAATTTATTATCATATTTTGGATATATTTCAAGCTATACAAAATTATATTCAAATATGATAAATTTAGAAAAAAATCATCAAATATATATACAAAAATATTTACAAAATAATTTTAATAATCTTTTTATTATTAATATAGATGATTATCATGATTGTCATCAAACTAGATTACCAACTATGACATCTAATAATAGAATATGTCATATGGCAACTACATTAATTAATAGTACATCTAATATTTTAAAAATTCCATTTATTTCTTCAAATAATATTTCACTTTTTGAATCTGGATTAATTTCAATTAATCATCTTAATAATGCATTATCTAATGAATTACGTAATAATTTAATTAGTTATAATAGTCGTAAATTAGAATGGAAAAATGTTTCAGATATTTTAATACTTTCAACTGAATCTTTAATAGAATCTTTATCAGTTCATATGTATGATGGTACTCTTGAAAATCAACATATGAGAAATTTTAATAATACCAAACTTATTGATTTTATTTCATCTGATTTAAAAAATACTGATGATTATTTACAAATAATTAATAATTTAATCAAATTTTCAGATATTAAAAAATATTTAACAAATAATATAATAATTACACCTATGGATTTTCCTGGTCAATTATATATTCGAAAACTAATTGTATATAAATATTTTAATTCATCTTTTGATAATATTCCAAAAGAAATTAATCATTTTGTTCCATTACTTGGACCTTTACATGTTTCATTAAATACACGACAAACATGTCTTATTAAATTTTATCCATTTTTTAATGAATTATATAAAAATACTTTTAATAAGAAAAAAAATTTAGCAGCAAAACCAAAACCATGGCAAATAAATTTATTACTTTATATTGCTCATGCTGGATGGATTAAAATAAGATCTGAAGTTCTTAAAGCATTTAAAAATTCTAAAAATGGAGGTTTTTATTCAATTTTAAATCTTTTAGATGATATTATACCTTCAACTTTAGATATTTATACAAATTTATTTAGAAATAATCATTTTGAATATTATTATGAAACAATATTTAGATTATGGATGTTTATGCGAAGATGTAATCGAAAAAATTATGATAAAATAATGCTTGTTTTTTTATCAGATATTTTACAATGGAGTCAAAATCAACATCCAATAATAGATATATTTTATAATCATTTAAATTTACTTGATGAATATCCAGTTGAAAATTTTCATAGTTTAGTACGTAGAAGTACTACATCTAAATTAACAAATTCAAAAACTCTTCGTAGATATGGAATTTTTATAGATTCTGAAAAACATGAAAACAAATTTATTTCAAATTTTTTAAAAACAAAAGAATATTTATTTTCTAAACCTCAATTGGATTCTTTAGTTTTCAATTCTAGTATATTTTTATTAAATTTTTTTACAAATTTTTATAAAAAACAAAATGATTTTAAAATTATAACAAATAAAAAAAATCAAGTTGAAGTTTATATTCCAACAATTGAAAAAAGTTTTGAAAAAGGAATTCTTCCATCAGCATATCATACTAATATAATTCCAAATAATAACAAATTATGTGATTTACAATTTTGTAATAATATAAATTCAGATATAATTATTTTATTATGTGGACATTCATATCATACTATATGTTTTAGTAATTTAAATTTTACATGTGATTATTGTTTTCAATATTATAAATCTTCAATTGAAACAATATCAAATAATTTTAATATATATTTAAAATCAGATCTTAAAAAAAAATATAATAATGATAGAGAAGAAATTAATAATAATAATATTATTGAATTAGATGAAGATAATATATTAGAAGATATTAATATAAATGAAAATAATATTGATAATGAATTTATATCAGCAATGAATAATTTTACAACAATAACTAATGAAAATAATATATCAACAGAATTTAAAAGAATTTCAATTGATTTATCAAATAATGATCAAAATAATAATGAATCTATTATTATTTCAAATAAGAGAAAAAGAGATTCATATCTTTCAAATTCAATTCAAAAAAAATAAATATTATTAATTTTTTAATCTATATATAAATATAAATAAATATATATATTGTACTTTGCAATATACTTATATATTATATATATAATAAGATAAATAAAAATAATAAAATAAAATAATCAGTAAAATATTAGTATTTAAATAAATTTTAAATCAATAATACCTATATTAAAATATATTCTTCAAAAAAAAATTAGATAGTAGAGTGTAAATATCTAGATATAATTTAAAGAATATCTATACTATGAGTATTATTAAGCATTTTAATTAATTAAACAAAAAATACTAATGAACAAATTTTATTTAATAAAAAATATTTTAAGAATGTTTAACATTATAATAAATATTTAAATAAACATTGTAGTTTAATAAAGTTTATTATATAATTAATAAATTTTATTAATAAAAAATCATTATATAAGTTTATCATTTCAATTTACAAATATTTTATAACAGATTATCTTTTTTTATCTCTAAGTAAGCAAAATGTACAATTAATTCAGTATTTAAAAAGATCACACAAGTAATATTATTATGCAACAATCAAATGTTAACAAACTAAATACAGTAGTAAAAACATTTAATAAAATATTAATAATTATTCAAGTATAAATTATAATTCTAATTTTGATTAATTATAGTAAATAAGTATCATTATGTTTATTAGCTAAATGCATAATAAATAATGTTTGAACAAACTTTAATTACTTCATAAGTTGATATTTAATTTATTATTAAAAATTTTACATAAATATAATTATTATTGTGTACTATTACAATCACTAGCTAATCATATTAAGTTGAGATTTGAGAACACCCTATATCAAATTATTTTTATTAATAATAGTATAATATTTGAATACTAACTTGAATTTTGGTCATAGAATATATCATATCTGGGTACTATGATCTAAATTATATAGTAATATTATTCATAATTATATACTAATTATAATATAAATATTCAAACTTAGATGCTTATTTTTTTTTTTTGGTGTTAAGATGACCTCTTTGGTCTTTTGACTTTTATTAACAACATTTTGGTAATGTGATTCAATGAACCACTACAGGAGAGAGTACAATTAGCTACACATGTAACTTTTCTATATTACCTATTTAAGGAGTCCACCCAAGAGTTCCCTACCAATTGCTGTACCTAACACCTCTGCTTGGGTGTTCTACTTTAAACCTTCTGAACCTGTAATCTGTATTAATCTCACTGAATCATACCCAGATGTTCAGATCATTGCCTCAACCTTAGGACTAATTTATTCTTAAGGTAAACTTCCCAGAGCCTTCTGTATCCATTTTTACAGCTGATCTAGATATTGCTATGGTCTAAGACCAACACTTGCAGTCAGAGCTAACTATTAAACCACTATGCCCTTGTAGAGTTCACTGAACCTTAGCATTTACTTCATAGCATATCTGAAATACTTTAGTATACCTCTGCCTGTTCACCAAACTCCCAATTCAGATAGCCTGATAGGACTACAATTAGTTCATTGGTATATCAGGTTGGCCCAATATCCTTTTTCTTTAGTATCCAGTAGCCTGGTTGGTGGTACTCAGGTTTCCCAGGCCTGGATTCTTGCCTGTTCAGGTACTTCAACATTGGTATCTGTTTCTTAAGTCTAGCCTTTACAGTAACATCATCGAAGATCTGGCTACCTCTTTACTCGGATTTTCTTAAATAGACTTCTTGTTACTCAATTTCAACAGATTTACATGACCACAAGGACTTATCTAGTGTTTGCACTGCCCAATTAGCTAGTTTGCATTTCTCTGTGTAACAAGTTACACAGATGCCCCATGACCTGCCAGTCATGCTAGTGTGACCTTCATTACAGGTATCCTAATCTAATCATTAGTAACAGTTGTCGTAATAAGAATATTATATAGATGATTATCTAAATTTTTACTGTCGATGGGATTTGAACACCCAACCTATTACTTGGAGGGTTGACAACCTGACCACTTCACTAGGTTGTCACACCCTTCTTAAATGCTTATTTTGAATACTTAAAATTATCATAAATAAATAAAATTATAATATTGTTAATACTCATATACAAATTATTAATTATAAAAATAACATTATATTATGAATTTACAATCTTAATATGTTTTATACTTAGGGTACTTTTAAACATTTTTCTTAGTACAATTAGCTAGTAAATAAGATTGTATACAATTTTGCTAAAAGTTTATAGTGTAAAATATATATTGTAACTAACACAACTTCATGATAGAAAAAGATAGTCTTGATTATCTTTTTTTTATTAAAATAACAAGTTTACTTAACCATTAAAATTATTTTCTACTGGTTAAAAATTGAGCTTTGATCTACTAATTTAGATGCTTGAGAACATCCTCATTCTAAATAAAAAAAATATTTATAAATTTAATAAATATTCTTTATAATTATATATCAATTAAAAAATAAATAAAATTAATTAAAATATTTGTAAACTTGAATACTTAAATAGTAGATCACAATTGAAGAATATAAATTTTATAGTAAAAATCAGTAAAGAATTACTATTATTTTTATATAATGTTAGAATGCTGAAAGCTTCTGGCATTATGTAAAAATTATATAATTTAAAAGAGAAAATGCCAATAGCTTACAATTTACCAAACCAATTTGAATAAGACTATTATTATTAGAATCTAAATGCCTTATTCTATAATTTTTATTAAAAACCCAAAGAAGATTTATTTGATATAAAAAAATTTTTTATTGTAAGCTAACTGTATTTTAACTTTATAGAAAATCTATATTAACTTTTGACAATTTTTACTATTAAATTTGATATTTTTATATCCTTTAATCACAATTTGTTTTTTAACTTAGATTAATAAATGTTTTTACTACTATGCACTAAAATTATTAATAAAAATAAAAATAATAAATATTTATAAATTTGTATCTTATTTTAAATATTTAAGTAGTAGATCACAGTTGAAAGATATAAATTTTATAGTAAAAATTGATGAACAATTACTATTATTTTCATATAATGTTAGAATGCTGAAAGGTTTTAACATTATGTAAAAATCATATAATTATAAAAAAGAAAATGTCAATAGCTTACAAGCTACTAAACCAATTTGAATAATTCTATCACTATTAGAACCAGAATGACTTGTTATATAATCTTTGTTAGAAACTTAAGAAAGATTTACTTGGCATGAAAAAACTTTTCATTATAAGCTAGCTGCATTCCAACTCTATAAAAAAACCATATCAACTTCTGGTAATTTTTACTATTAAATTCACTATTTTTATACCCTTTAACCATAATTTAACTCATAATCATTTTTGATACTTATTAAAATAAAATAAAATTAAAAATAACTCATAACCTAATACATTTATATTCGATTTAAATCTAGATTATCTGGGTTGTTCAGATCTTACATGAATTTATTCAGGCGATTTTGAAAAGATTTCAAAACTGAGTTCAAGTAAAACCTAGTAAAATATAGACTGAGTTCCAGAGAGCTTGTGACATAAGATCAAACTAACTTGAACCAAATCTTAAAACCATCCTAGTATTGCCCATAAACAATATAGCTTACATCATAATTAAAGCTCTGAATTAATAATGACAATGATAAAACGCTGTTTTTTAGTGTCTTCTATAAAAATGAGTGTGTAACTGATGTAATAGATAAAATATCAAATCATATTTCCATTACGCTGCGATTAGCTTTGTATAGTGAACATAATACAGAGTAGGAACGTAAACTTATTATAATAGTCAATTCGGACAGTATAATTAGAAAATCAGAATTTGATATCATATATACACTATTATAATTGTCTCATACGTAGAGGTCCTCACTACTCTTTGAACAATAAAGAACAAAGCAATTAGCAGAATCCCTAAGGTTCTAATATGGTTACAAAGCATATAAATAATAATTTGTCCAAATTTAACATTAAAGTTCAGCAAAGAAATATTTTTATTTCGGTCATGCCAAGTGTTTAATAAAAACAAGTACATAATGATGTTAGGTTTTTATTATATATACAAATTTCTTTAAAAAACAAGTACGATCAACTCTTTCTATAACGAACTGAAGATCATAAAAATTTCTATTTTTCTTAAGGATCCATGGCACTTCTATGCCGAGTTATTATGAATTTTTTTGCGCTTTGATTCTGTGAATTAATTATAACGTTAGCTACATTTTTTATGGGCGACACTAGGATAGCTCAAATCTTAATGTCTCATTCGAAAGCTTAATCACGATTATTGTAAGGGTACGTACAATCTCTACTTCAAAACAACTAGATTCCGAAGAAACTTGTCCTTACGTTCCTACTAAGGGTTCTAACTTTAATAGTTTATTTAAATAAGCGGATTAATAATAATGAATATTAGTATTCAACGTTTAAACGAAAGAGCGAAAAAAAAATTTTCGGTATTACATAATTTATATTATATATGTATCGGAAATTTCACTTAGTATTTACGATGCAAGAGGATGCTCCCCTCATGCAAATCCGGGTTACACTTGACGTACCCCCGACGCACTAATCACGGTAGGGCAGCTGTTA